TTTAAAACCTTTTTGGTCGCTTAGTGGGATGCGAGTGGGATATCTATCAAAATAAATGTTTTGTAACTCAAGACAAATGTTTTTAAATTGATTTTTTTCATATTTGTGTGTAAGTGTTTCTAAAACCTTAAAAATAAAAACCACAACAACTGACCGATAATAGCCACTGGAGGGGTGCAATATGAGGCCGACCGCTATTAATTTTCCACCCCCAAAATTTGTCTGAGTTTTGCATCTTGCGGCTTTTTTGGTCAATCCTAGAGGTAGTTTTCAGCGCACGTGATTTTCATTGTTAAAATATCAGGTGCCCCAGAAACAAATTTTTGGAATCAAGTGGAAATATTTTATGGCCCTTCTCCGAAGTACCAGTTTATTTATTATTTTATAACATTTGACTTTAAGAAGTGGGTGGAGAGGTAGAAGTTGACAGGTAGGTTATTTATATGGTGGTTTATTTTTATTATTATCTGTAACATTTGGTTAAACTAGGTACTTTAGTATGTATGCCCTTCTTGACCCTAATAAAAGATTTTAGACTCATTCATTAAAACGTACTACCTATATGATCTTAAAAAACTATTTGTCATTCTGAAGACATACGGAAATCAGTTTTTTAGAAACAGCGTTAAAGTTAAGACGTGTGTTATTTATATAAATACTTACAAAATTCAAAATGTCTACGACTTCTAAAAAGGTTGAAAATGAAATTTATTCGTCTTTTTGTTTTAATCCCTTTAACAAAATGAAGATATGCGAAATATGTCCGACGGCTTATTAAAAAATTCCCTACGCTGTCAAAACGATTGAAAATTTGTGGATCATGCAGGAAAGAGCTCGGAAAGTTGAACGAATTACCGATTTTGAATAGTAATGAGCCTTGCGTTGTAGTTATTCTAGATGAAGACAAAAGTAATTCCGAGAATGAAGACAGAACTGTTGATGATGATGGTTATTCTAACTTTTCAAATTCAACGAATGAGTGTCGAAACCAATACCATAAGGATGCAGTAGAAGTTCTTGAACAAATAAAAGAGAAATACAAAACGTCACAGAGTGAAGCTGAAAGAATTCAACTTCTCACGCTTGCTCCAAGAACATGGAGTTCTGCAAAAACAATGACTGAGTTTGGAACGTCTTAACGAAAAGCAAGAATTGCTAAACAATTGGTTGCTGAGCATGGGATTCTCACACTCCCAAACAAAAAGAAGGGAAAAACTTTGGAGTGCGATACTAAATCTCTAATAACTCAGTTTTATCAGCGAGATGATATGAGTCGCCTGATGCCAGGGATGAAAGACTGGATATCTGTACGAATCGATGGCAAGAAAGTTCAAATGCAGAAGAGAATGGTTCTCTGTAACCTGAATGAATTATTCGCAACATTTCAATCTGAATACGAGGATGTCAAAATTGGATTCACAAAATTTACACAACTGAGGCCAAAACATTGCGTTTTGGCAGGAAGCAGCGGAACTCACACAGTATGTGTTTGTATTTACCATAAAAATGTTAAATTGATGTTGAAGGAAATCAACTTAAATTACTTAAAAGATGATTCATCAGAAGATTTACACCATTACCGCGATTGCCTTAAATTGACTATGTGCCCTAATGCTACAACTTCTTGCCACTTAGGTGAATGTTCGAATTGCCCGGAAACCACATCCATCAAAGAAAATTTAATCAACTCTTTTGATCGAGAATGTATTGAGGAGTTAAAATTTGAATCTTCGCTTCAGACTGAAAGATGCACACTGAAAACCATAATTTTAAATGTGGATGATTTTGTGGAAGAACTGTGTAGAGGATTGCTAAATTTGAGAACCCATGACTTTTTAGTCAAAGAGCAGTGGTCATTCTTCAAGGACTTGAAAACACATTTGAAGTCTGGTGAATTCATTATTTCATTTGATTTCGCAGAGAACTATAAATATGTTCTTCAGGATTCCATACAAGCATTCCACTTCAATAACGACCAAGCCACTATATTCACAGTAGTTATTTACTACATGAAAGAAGAAAACCTGGAACACAAAAGTATGGCAATCATATCCGACGATTTAAAACATGACACCGTTGCAGTTTATGAGTACCAGAAGATAATACTAAATTATCTAAAATCAAAATTTACAGTAGAAAAGGTATACTACGTTTCGGACGGAGCTCCTCAACATTTTAAAAACAAAAGTAGCTTCGCAAATCTTACAGCTCATGAAAAAGATTTTGGAATGCCAGCTGAGTGGCATTTTCATCCTACTGCTCATGGTAAAGGAGCATGTGATGGTATTGGAGCAAACCTCAAAAGAAATGCAGCGAAGTATAGCCTCCAGTGCTCTCATCAAGATCGCATCTTAGATGCGACTGCTTTATTCCACTGGGCAAAGAATTATTGTAAAGAAACTAAAATAGTTTTTAGTAGCAAAGAGGATCATGAGGAAACATTGAAAACACTAAAGAGCAGATTCGATGCTGCGGTAACAATCGATGGCACTGCTCAATACCATGCTTTCATACCGCTTGTCGATGGAAGACTCAAATTAAAAAAAGTTTTCTGCATCTACTCAATGCGATTTCTTTCCAAAGCCAAAAAGAAGCCAGCAGCGAAATCAGTAACTGAATCTAATAACGCCAAGAAAGGATTGACAAAAAAAAAAGCAGCTAATAAAGGTGACAAATAAGGAGGATAAAAGTATGGATATTTGAAAATTTAAAAACTTCATAAATTAAGTGTAAAAATAGTTATTATATAAATTGATCTATTGTGATTAAGATTAAATTTTACTAAATTATTCATCTTTTTATTATTATTATTATTATTATTTTTATTATTATTATTATTATTATTATTATTATTATTATTATTATTATTATTATTATTATTATTATTATTATTATTATTATTATATATTAAATTAATTATTATTACAAATAAATAACAAAATTAAATTATTCAACATTTCCATAGAAAAAAAGTGATTTTTATTCCTGAGGTTAACATATTATGGGTATTACAGTATCGAGGCTATGAAATTTTAGTTGGGTATGTTACATACCATCGGAAAGGCTAATGTGTCTAGTTTCTCTGCGTAAGTTTAATTTTTAAGGTTTACATACAAATATGAAAAAAATTAAAATAGCAAATTTAAAAACCTTTGTCTTGAGTTACAAAACATTTATTTTGATAGATATCCCACTCGCATCCCACTAAGCGACCAAAAAGGTTTTAAAGGAAAAGACCTAAGCTTTCTTTTGAGAAAAAAAAATTAATAAAAAAAGAGTCCATTTTGGAAAAAAAAGTCAAAAAGGTTTTTGATTTAAAAAAAAAAAAAGTAAAAAATTGTATGTCTTGAGTTACAAAACATTTTTTTTATAGATATCCCACTCGCATCCCACTAAGCGACAAAAAGGGTGTTAAAGGAAAACACATAAGCTTTCTTCTGAGCAAAAAAAATTAAAAAATGGGTCCATTTTTTTAAAAAAAGTCAACAAAGTTTTTGATTTTGCAAAAAAATTCAAAAATTTTAAATCTTGAGTTACAAAATATTTTTTTGATAGATATCCCACTCGCATCCCACTAAGTGACCATATAGGTCACTTAGGAAAAGACCTAAGCTTTCTTAAAAAAAGTAAAAAGGGCCCATTTTGAAAAAAAGTCAAAAATATTTTTGATTAAAAAAAAAAAAATAAAAAATATTTTATTAAATTTTTTTAATTTTTTTTTTTTTTTTTGAAAGTTTGCATAAATAGCTATCTAAACTATTTGAGACACATTTTGCTAAGAACAATAGGTAATAAGTTATATGGATAAAAAAAACACCTGTTTGGCCAAAATGTCAAATTTTGACCTCCTATAACTCAGAGAGTTCTTGACCGATCTTGTTGAAAAATTGTGTCCGAATTACTATCCAATAGAACTAACATTGGTGCAAATTTCATCGCGATCGGAAGACATCGATTTCAAAAGTTGGTTCACTTGACGTGAAATGCCCCATATACATACATTGATGTTAGTGTAGCAAACCATACAGGGTATAGCTAGTTACTTATAAAAACAAATTAGGTGAAAATGTCCAACTTTGACCCCCTCTAACTCCGACTGTTCTTGACCAATCTATTTAGGTTTTCAATATTATTTTTTCAGAAAAAATTTTGAAGCGCATTTTTGACAATTTTTGATCCTGACAGAATAAAAATAACACAAAATTTGCCATAGTAGGGTAAGCGGAAGTAATTATAATTTTCTTTTTTAAATGTGCTTCTTTGAAATTTTGAAGTCCTTTTACAAGGAAACAGGATCACGATATAAAAAACTGTGAACGAAGTTTTGCTTCATTTAATCTCTAGTTTCAGACTTATATCATCATATGGTTCGTGTCTAATATTGAGTGTCGAACGGAGTGATACCATATTGTTCATATAATACAAGACTGGCATAATTCAAAATTTGGGTTATTTTAACCCAGGGATACATAACTTGCCTAATATTTATTTTATTTTTATTAATTTTTAAATATGTCTATTATATTTAGTGTGAGATAAATTTTTTGTTGTAAACGTAAACTCATGTTTTCACGAAAATTAGAGAAGTTAATATTAATTTAGATGTGAAACATATTAAACTCCACCATCTGAATTTGGTTTAATTTTTCAAATCCAATGTTTTGATTAATAGTTCTTACTTCGACCTTTTTGTTTTATCCAAAGTAAAAAAAATATTTCGAGTCCATAAAAATTCTTTATTAATTTATTTTCCAATATTTCGATATCATTCGGATATCATTTTCAAGGAATGAGTGACAACTATATTTATAAAGACGTACAAACGTCTTCACATTTAATATTGTTTAAATATTATATAAAATGTCATTAAACATTCAAAGTCATAACTAAAAAAATTATTTACACGTGAAATTTTTGCGAATATAAATATTTTTTCTATAAAAATTTCACTTGCAATTTTTAATATAACAACATTCATCATATATTATTTACTTTTTAAGGAGTGTTCTTCAGCAGTACTCACAAGTAGTGGTACATCTTCAGTTATGTCATCAGATACTTCCAATGTTGAAAGTGAATCTGATTCCGATGAATCCATGACTGATAATGAGAGTAACAACCATATAAAAGGCGGTACACTTAGTGCAGAAGAACTAAAGCTTGTTTATAGAATGGTTGTTCAAAATATAGAGGAGTGTGCTACTCGATTTCCAGAACACTATAAATCTATTTATCGCCTAGTATACCACTATATGAATTCACCGATGGAATATTGCGATCTTACTCAAAGTGAAAAACTATTACTTGGCCAATATAAGACTAGTTTGGGAAATCTTGTAAATGGATTGTTCTACGACAGAAAAAATAATAATTTATTTAATGGAATATGGCGTATACCATCATCCGAAATAGATCGTCCCGGCAGCTTTTCAGCACATCTGGTTAAATGTGTTAAAATTTTTATTCAGTTGTTATATAAAACTAATAATCATGGTGTATTAATTGACATTGCTATGAACTTATATAAAACTCCAGATTTGGACAAGTAAGTATAAGTACTAAAAAAAAATGTATATTTTTATAATTTATAACTATAGTGGTACATTGTGATATGTTTTAAAGAAGCTGCTATTGGCTTTTAATAGAGTAATACGATATCTGTTCTCTCTTAGAATATATTTGGTTTATTTATTTATAGAAATAGACAATAAAAATTACATTATTAACTGCTATATAGAAAGATTATTTCCGGTCAAATTGACTGGATAAATTACAAAATTCTTTGAAATCATTCAATGTTTCTTCCGATACATATAAAACAGAATCTTATATACCCACCATCAAATCATGTTTTGGTTTCAATAAAACTTGTTTTGCTGAATTTAATTTCTATCCATATTCTTAAAGCCAGTTATCTGTGTTAAAGTAATTTTCTGAGATTTGAATTTAATGAAAATTGTTCGAATTTCATAACTATACATTTATTTTAAGCCTGTTATGGGATTATAGACCCATCCTTATAAAATTTAAGAAAGATTTTAGTTCGGATCAAACTTCTTTATATTGAAATTCGTTGCTATACTGGCGTTTTGAAGAAAGTTATGTGTGTGATATAGTATTTTTTAGAAGAGATCCTTATATGGGGGATAGGGTAATTATGTCCCGATCAATATAAAAATAAAAGGAGAGATTTTAGATTTTAATTCCTATAAAACTTATTTATGTAGAATTTCGTTGCTATACTGGCACTTTGAAGTAAGTTATAGGCATCACACAATGCTTCGTTACATGGACAAAAATACAAAAAAAAAGTTATTCGGAAAAGATAAAAGTTATAGTTTCAGATTTGTAACAAAATAAAATTAAAAAAAAGTAATTTAACTTGTCATATCTCCGTTAGAGGGCGCCAAAATCAGAAGAGTATGTGAATAAAAACTGTAAGGGAAAAACTTGAATTTTTATGTTTTAGGAAAATATTTGCCAAAAACTTATCATTCGATTAATTCTCTTTACTTTTGATAGGAGACTATATAGGCTATATTGTAGAGATTACAATTTTTACATAGTCATTTAATTCTTTTGTTAAGAGAATATTTAAAAATACATTTTATTTCTATGGACTTTTTTTAATTTTGGTGGAATATATCCAAAAAAAGATATCTCAAATTTTCTTTGTTTACATTCTGAATATACCTTATGATATGTCCATTAAAGATCAAAAAAGAAATTCACCACATTTTGAATATAACATACCTATATAAACATTTAAATTTAGTTTAATTTGTTTCTGGTTATTATTTATAAACAATCAATTTAAAAGAAACTATAAAAATTTATGTATTTGTTGTCTTAATTCTTGACTTATAGCCGTAGGAATTTTTTAGCATAAAACGTCGATTTTACCCAAAATTTAAATGAAAATACCAAAAAAAAGTAATTTTAATTTTTTTCTTTGTATTCTGTACTATAAAAATTAAAAAAAAAATTGCTGCTACTCTTTGATTAAACCTACATTTTTTTAAAATTTATTTTAAACACATAAAATTGTATTTTTTTATACATTTGAAAATATATAACATTTGTAAATATCAGGTACAATTTGATCCAAATGCAACCCATAATAATTAGTTTTGATTAGATAGGCTAATTTTTGATCTTCTAAAAAAATTCAAGTTTTTGTATTAAAATTTAAAAAAAATTGCTACCACTTTTTGATTAAACCTATATTTTTTTAAATTTATTTTAAACCCATGAAATTGTATTTTTTATATATTTGAAAATATATAACATTTGTAAATATCAGGTACAATTTGATCCAAATGCAACCCATACGCGTTAAATTCCTTATCATCAGCTTGGGACCTCATATGGGGTAGAGTCAATTATGGTCCGAACAGTACAAAATTAAGCGATGACGTTTTAGTTCCATGAAGGGGACCTTATATGGGGGTAGGGTCAATTATAGACCGACCCTCATAGAATTTGACAGAGAAATTTTAGTTCCGATAAAACATGTTTATGTTGAATTTTGTTGCTTTATGGGCAGTTTGAATCATGTTATGAGCATTAAAGTAATTTTCTGAGGGGGCGTTAGGGTCAATTTTGGTGCTATCCTTACAAAATTAAGCGCCGACATTTTAGTTACCATAAAACCTGTTTATGCAGAATTTGGTTGCTATACTGGTGATTGAGCTCCTAGCTCCCTTTTTTTATTGTAGAGCGGTAATATGAATTTTCCTCTAACTATTGAGGAACCTTTTGTTAATACCTTTGCATTAACAAATTCACAGGTCTCTGCTGTGACTGATTGTACCAAACAAAACAATAAAAGTACAGCCAAGCTGTTGTTGATGGTTTCAATTTCAAAGGTACAATGAATTTATTAAGAGAGAAGAAAATCTTAAAAACTACTTATACATAAATTACTCAAATTCAATTACATTACTCAAACCAATTTAAGCTTAACGAAAGAGTTACACTAGAAAAAATTAATGATATAAAAAAAGGAATGAAAAACAGAATAAATGAATACAATATTAAAAATACTTGTTGAACTGGGTTCAACATACTCCCCCGACGGGATGGCATTTACATCCTTTCCAAACACCGGAGACTACCCAACCCAGCTTCGTTTGTTGTACTCGTGGTAGATTTGGTGGTTGCACATAACTTGATTTCATTAATTTTGAAATGCCAAGTACACCGTCGATCTCTCGCCAAGTTGGAAAAAATGGATGGGCTAGTGGCTCATAAATTTTGAAATGTTTTAGTAGACAGGGGTCCAAAATAGGCTCTGGTAACTTAATTGGAGGACGCCCTTGTACTGTCAAGTAAACTCTTTCCTCATCTCTTGGATCGTGTGGAAACGTGGGTTCGAGTACAAACGATACTTCAACTTTGCCAGACTCGTCGGTCACAAGGTTAAAATTTGGGAACCATCGTGCTACTTCTAGTTGAAGGTATGACGTTCTTGCCGTAGGATCCAATAAGAATGTGGTATACATTTTTGCACCGCAGAAATTGAGATTCACTCGAACTATGGGTGGAATGTTGACCAAAGTAGGTTCATTAATCATTAAATTGGAAAATGATTTTAATGAATCAAGGTAAGAAGATGTGACAGATTCTTCATTTTTCTTTAATGATAGGTGTGCTGAACAATTTTTACATAACGCACCAATGGTTTGACAGCTCTTGTCAGAGACCAATTTCTGTTTTGGGGAAGTTTGCGTGGATATATTGGCCCATTTTCTTCTAGGAGAAGTTGTACTGTCTCTAACTGATTCAGCTTTAGGAGAGGTGGTATTGGCTGTAATAGCTTGAGCTCTAGGAGAGATTGTATTTGATCTCATAATGCCATGATCCATTTGGTTGGGTGACGATATATTTTCAATACGGGGCTTAGCAGTCCGAATCCCATTTTCCGGAGTTATTTCCTTTGCCTCTAAAGTGGTAACTGGGACAGCTGTTTTTATATAAGACCGGAATTGAGAAGCAGCTCCTTCATCGTCACTTTCTGCTAACAAATCACCTTCAACTTCGATACTGGAGGATAAAGGGTCGCAATTCTCTATATGCAACAGAGTATTGTGCTTGGCGTTACAAAATACGTTTTTTCGATATTCAAAATTGCATCGCTTCTTAGATGTACACCAAGTACGTACGTGATCATAGGCCAAACAGTTTAGACACAACCCTTTATTTTTTACGGTCAACCGACGTACCTCAACGCTCCACTCCTTGAACTGTGGGTAATACTTCAGCGGGTGATTTCTGCGGCAAACATAGCAACGTGGTTTTTTATCCATTTGTGAAAGAAAGAAGCAAGGGAAAGAAATACATACAGTGATAATAAATATTATGTGCAACTGAATAAAAATTTGAGTTTAGTGTATTTAAGGCTTTTTTATTTTGGGTGGACTTTTATTCGGAATAGATGTAGATTGGATGTCAGCATTAGTTGGCAATAAGCATAATTTTACTACAGGTCGTTTTATGATCCCGTTTTTAGTAATTATTTCAGCCACTCGTACTTTGTTGTCTTTGCCGTGTATTACATTAATAACGCGACCATTCATTGGGTGGTAATAATTCTTCTTTGACAATAACAATGTCATCCTTTTTCAGATTCTCCTTTTCTCGCTGCCATTTTAAACGTCGTTGAAGTTCGGTAACATACTCATTTTTCCACCGCCGTGCAAATACGTGCTGCAGAATTTTTAATCGCTCCCAACGCTTTAAATAAGGGACGTCTTCTATTTGGTGTTCTGTTGGTGCTTCGGGTCTAGATGTAATGGCAGCACCACGTAGAATATGGCCAGGTGTTAAAGGTAAGATTTCATTGGGATTTTCAGTCAATGGAGAGAGGGGTCGTGAGTTTAAAACAGCTTCTATCCTCACGAGCAAGGTGGTGAATTCTTCGAAGGTAAACGACATATTGTTGGTGACTTTCTTTAGATGTGGCCGCCCATATGAGGGGCATATGGTGGTATAAATGACCACGTGAAACCTGATGTAGCATGTTTCTTTGCAAGAGCACTTTCTGTTGACTTTAGGAAATCGGTGTGGCAGCATAGCTTGCTCCCAGAAAGTTCCGTCCATTGTCAGAAAACATGGTCTTAGGAAGTCCTCTGCGGCCAATAAACCTGTCAAAGCAGGCTAAAAAGGCGTCGGTTGAAAGATCGGAACACACTTCCAAGTGAACATCTCTAGTAGAGAAACAGACAAATACCGCAGCATAGCTCTTTAGAATTTTTGCGTTACGTAAATGGAAAGATTTTATACTAAACGGCCCTGCAAAATCGACTCCAGTATAGGTAAAGGGGAGGGAAAAATATACTCGATCGGGGGGAAGAGATGCCATCATTTGATTTTGAAATTTATGTTTATATACTGTCTTACAATTTCGTATACACTTTCGTATTAAGTTTTTCAATCGTGGTATGTAGAAACCTTGTCTAATTGCTCGTAGCATAATATGGTGTTCAGCGTGAAGCAATATTCGATGCGTATAACTCACAAGAAGTACTGCGAATTGAGACTTTT